TCCCATCAGCCTCAGCTGTTGCTTAATTAGCAAATGGTAACATGTTGATACGCTACGGTAAAACTTACACCTGCTGTGCTCAACATCAGCATGCTAGCATTGTCATTCTGATTACGTTATTATGCTGATGTTTGCTCGGTTCTCTGCAGTACAGCCTCAGAGATGCTAACTAGCCTGTTGTGTCAATGCTGTGAGCACCACAAACCAACTTCCATTTACCTCCACTGCACTGAGGGCAGCAGGAAAACCTCAGCAAATAAAAGCAAAAATATCTACGTGTCTAGATACCACTATAAGAATATCTTTAATATTTCAAGTGAAGTAACCCTTTAAACTTCTCCAGAGGCCAGTTAGTTTTAGTTTTTGTGTCACTAGGCAAATTGTTTTGACAGTACTGTAGTCTGTTTGCTTTCTAAACACTCACCAACAAATCACTGTCATCACTCCCAGTGTAGCTGTATGGTTGTTTTGTACCCCGTGCAAAGGGCTGTGAAATAGCTCCTAGTTCAGGTACTGATGTAAATGGTGTATGTTAAGATGTTGTAAATGTACGTATGATGGCAACTCCATGCACTGTCACACAAACATCATCAGGTTTGTATGTAATGATGTAGATGCATTGACTGTTTATGTGTACATGTCAGATAAAAGGAACATTTTACTTGTAAATATTGATTAAGGCAGACAGATTGAGACTCATCATATTCGTTAGACAAGAGTGTTTAATTTGTTTTGTAGTGTTTCCCACTGTTGGCCTTTGTCCCAGCGTCACTAATCATGCACAAACTATTTGTTCAATTGGCACCTTATTGATCTGTTAACATGCGTATTCCTGGAATTACATGGGGCTTATAATCACACACTGTGCTTGGATGTCATGACATGCATTTTTTCTCACTGACACCTGTCCAAGGTTAATGGATCAAATGTCATTTTAATAAGAAAGATGGCACAGGTTACACTTCTCTCTCCTTGTGTGTGTGTGTGTGTATGTGTGAGAGATTTTGGTGATAAAATGATTGATCATCAAAGGCTCTGAGTTCAACGTCATTTAGATTTTCAAAAATTTTCCCTTTTATTGTTTACCCATTAAAAAAACATTCTGCCTCCTTATGGGGTCACTGAATTATTAGCATTAATTTAATCATTTGATTGGCAAGTACGTTTTCCTTTTTCTTTTTTTTATTACAGATCATTATATTTTTAAAATATGATTTATTATAAAAAAGTGTACGTCAACAAATACATAATTTGAAGTGGAATATTTGTGATAACATGCAAAAGAGATTCCTTGACATATAGGTTATTGGAAAATGTCAACACATGCAGATGATTTTTAGTAGCTGAATAAAGTCACATGATGCAATTAAATGAGTGAGGACAATGTTGATGTTTTAAATTATTTTTTGCTTTAACAGGTCAGCCATTTCTAAACAAGGATTACATGTGGACCCAGAACATTGTGCCCAACACACATTTAGTTACTGACTAAAGTCAGATGGTTAAACATTTATTTTGACCATCACCTGAAACTTAATAAGACTGCCTACCTGAGTTTATTTTACACATCTGCTGTGAAAATGGTGGCTTTTGGAGAGATTCTGAAAACTGCTGGAGACTTTGGTTTCTTCCAGAAACTTCTCACTTTGGGGTTAGCCTTCCCAAATTTCATTATGCCTGTTTTCTTCTGTAGTTTTCTTTTTATTCAGTCAGATCCAGAGCGACACTGTAACACAGACTGGATCCTACAGGCTGACTCTAACCTGACCACAGATGAGCAGCTGAACCTGACTCTGCCCCGGGAGGACGATGGGACCTTCAGCAGGTGTCGGATGTTTGTCCCTGTGGACTGGGACATTGGTGCCATCAGGGAGTACGGACTCAATGAGACCACGGGGTGCCAGAATGGATGGGTGTACTATAACACGCTGTATGAAGCCACCATCGTCACTGATGTAAGCCGAGTAGGATGTGTGATCATCTTTGGTATCACCTGTGCTGACTGCCCTACTGATTTTGATAGTGTTGTTTTACAGTTTGATCTCGTCTGTGACAAGTCTAAAATGGTTGAAGTTGTGCAGACTGTCTTCCTGGCTGGTTCACTTGCTGGTTCATTCATCTTTGGACCTATAGCTGAATCGTAAGTGACTTGAAAAGGTTGAAAAAGTCATGTGCTTCAAACCCTTCATGTGACGATCACCCACTCTCTAAACTTCAGGTACGGCCGCAGGAGAACCACCCAGTTACCAGTTGTCCTTTTGCTGATATTTCTCACAATTGCTGGCGTGTCTCCAGATTTTTATGTTTACATGGTGTCACAGTTCATGGTTGGAGCAGCACTTGGAGGATACAGAATTAACTCCATTGTATTAGGTATGAATTCTATTTATCAAAGCAAGATTTCTTTGATTTATCCCGGAAATCTGCAGTGATTTTGGTGATTTAAATATGTGTTTGTAGCTACAGAGTGGACCGGGGTCACCAAAAGGTCCTTTGCCTCCTGTTTGAGCCAGGAGTTTGGAGCTGTTGGACAGTGTGCCATGGCTGGTCTGGTCTATGTTATTCGTGACTGGAGAATAGCACAGTATGTCACAGCAGGAATGCAGGCCGTTGTATGCTTGTACATATGGTATGTATTGTATACACGATTTTTATTTATTTATTCACAGCGCTGTATGTGCTGTGTGTAGATTGACACACTTGCTAGTCATATCTACCTGGCCAAATCCAGTTTAGTCACTTCACATAATGAAATAATGCAAAACCAGAGTGACAAACTAATGACAGTTTGTCAGTGACTCTGACATTTGGATTGTGACTCATCTTTTCAGCTGGATTCCTGAATCTGCAAGGTGGTTGCTTGGGCAGGGAAGAACCGAAGAAGCGAAGAGGTTCATACGTAGAGTTGCAGCAATCAATAAAAAGAAAATCCCAGAGACTCTGCTGGATGAGGTCAGATTCTGTGTTAATTACATTAGATCAAATTAGGCTTTAATGATCCATTGAAGAACAGGACTAGTCTACAGCCATGCCTGTGGATCTGTGAGGCAGTACTGAGGCACAGTGGTGCTTTGAGCTAAATGCTAACATCAATGTGCTAACATACTCACCATAAAAAAATTTTGCACATTGATTTTTACCTGGTATAACATTTACCATGTTTACCATCTTTGTTTATCTTTTTAGCATGCTAACATTTGCTAACTAGGCTGATGGAAAATGGCATTAGTTTAGAATGAATTTAGTCATAAACCAGAGTATTGGACAAATTAAAAATGTGTCACAAGATCAAACTTATTCCATGTGTGTATAAAATTCCAAGGCATGCCAGTAGGACTTATAGTGAGTAAGCAGATTATTGCTCATGCCCATTATCCCTCTCTTAATTTTAACAGAAAGAGATTAAAAAGTTAAAATAGTATACTAATAGATAAAGATAAATATTATAATTATTATTATATATTATTATTATAATTATAATGAGTTATAAAAGTTCATTTATGTATTGTATCCATATATGGATAAATGGTTGAAATATCCAAATATATTGGATTGGCTTAAATATGAAATAGTTGGCTAAAGGTCATGGATACATAGTTTAAATGTGCAGCTTCTGCTTCACAAAGGTTGATTGAATTGATTGTGTTAACTAACATCCAGTTCAAAATCAATTCAAGTGATCACATTCGGAACATGATGGGTGTCGATGAAGGGGACCTTGAGTTCATCTGACTGATATCTGGGCTGTGGGGGCAAGACACAAATGGTTTTGTAGATCTTAACCCTTCAGATTAAATGTACTGGCTGTCTAATTCATAGTGTTAGTCACTATCAACTGTAAAATTGCCACCAGCGGCCATATGTTGGTCCTCTGTATTGTAATAATACTCTTGCCCTTCAGGTAACTGGGGAGCGAGAAGTCCAAGGTGGAGGAATCAAAGCACTTTTTACCTCAAGAGTCTTGACAAAATATTTCTTCATTATATCTTTTGCCTGGTGAGTTAAGCCCATTTCGAAAGGTAGTTTTTAATTTGATTTAATTACATTTTTGTATCATGTTTGCGTTTTTGTGGTTTGAAGGTTTTCATTAAATCTAGGCTACTTCTGCCTTGTTCTGAATGTGGGCAAGTTTGGTCTGAACATCTTCCTGGTTCAGTTCCTGTTTGGGATCTCGGAGATACCAGCACATCTCCTCTGTATCTGGGTTCTGGAGTTGACGGGGAGAAAAAAATCCCTGATATCGACCCTCCTGACTGGTGGTTTTGTTTGCCTCTTAACCCTGGCTTTCCCTCAAGGTGAATTTCCTGTCTTTCACATTCAGTATATGACCACGAATCCATCTGACTGTCACAAGTTTAATTTACTGTACTTTGAACATTTTAATTTGAATTCCAGACAGCGCTGTTGTTATCACAGCCCTTGTAACCACTGGAAAGTTCTTTTTGAACTGGGCGAGCTCAATATGTTTGGTCTACATTCAGGAGTTGTTTCCCACCTCTGTCAGGTATGCAAAATAAAAGTATACAACATATATAATTATAGATATTCCACATATGCACTGTATGTATTTTAACTCCACTCTCAGGCAAACAGCTGTTGGCTTGGGCTCCATAGCCTTTAGAGTAGCAAGTCTGCTGTCTCCGTTGCTCAACATGTTGGCCATATACCACTGGTCCATACCCATCATCGTCTTCAGCAGCCTTGTGGTGGTCAGCGGAACTCTTGTCTTCCTCCTTCCTGAGACCTGCAGAAAAGAGCTTCCTGACTCAACTTATGAGGCTGAGGGCAACAGGTAAGCAGGCTGCATGATCTACTGAGGAACTGTGGCAACCAGGGAACAGTTACAGGCCAACCAGGGGCCTCCAACTATTTATTCTCTTAGTTTATTTCTGTAGTAGATCAATGTCACGCCGGCTGTCTACGGATTTACCCTAACCCAAATTGGTTCTAATGTGGAAACTTGAAAACAACACTAATATTAGCCATAGCTTTAATAGCTAGATTTATTAGCTATAAAAGTGATTAAGGTGAACTGTAAATCTGATGATTTCAACTCAAGTTCATATAACAACAACTTTAGGATATTCTGGAAACTCAAAAGGTTAAACATTTTGGGAAAAACACTAATTCGCTTTCTTGACAAGAGTTATATGAGAAGATTGATACCACTAATGTTGGTCCATCATAAGCTACATTAAAGCAACACTATGTAAGATTTGGCATTTGTTTGATTTGCCGCTGCCAGTTGCAATACATGCATTTGTTATGATTACATCATTTATAATCAAAAACTAGCAAGTCTACAACTTTGCTTTGCTTTTACGGTAAAAAAGTTACAAAGTTTTGCTTGCAGCAACAGCCTGGAGACGATTTTTGATAAATACACTTATTTACTTCGATGAGAAAATTGATAACCACCCTCATGTCTGCCCGTTAAATATTAAGGTTCTGCTGACAGCTGGTTAGCTTAGCTTAGAATACAGACTGAAAAACAGCCAGCTTTCTCTGTCCAAAGGTAACAGACTCCACATAAAAGCTCCTCTAAAGCTCACTAATTAATATGTTATATCTTGTTTGTTTTATCCATACAAAAACCAATGTAAAAATTACAACCAAAGACTCCATGAAGCCACTGGACCCGGCAAAGTCATAGTCAGAAACATAAACCCTTGTAAACCTTTATACTTTGTTCTGATTAAAAAAGTGATATATGATGTTTTTAATGAGCTAAATAAGCGTATTTATCAAAATGTCTATTTTTTGGCCTTAGCATACTAGTAGGCCTTATGGCGAGTAAGCAGATTCAACATACAACTTTAATTGTGTCTGCAAGGATTATCGTCACTTAGTACAACAAATACACACACTATTAAATAGGGAAGAAATAAAAATTATAACGGTTACTACTTAATCTTCAGAGTCAAAGTACTTTATATTCCTGATGTACTTGCCACAGCACTCATTGCTTATCCTTATGGTAGTTTTACTTTACTAGTAATCAGCATTTTGTAATTTTAATAATTTGTAATATTTTTTATACTGAAACTACATGAACACACTATTGTTGAGATATATATAGATGCATGTTTTTTTTTTTTTACTGTAAGTCAAATAGATAATGGTTAAAGGTCAAAAATAAATAATCTAAATGTTGTGTTCCTTGTCATTATAGGAATATGACCACCAAGAAGACTGGAAGTGACTTTAAAATGGCTGAACACAACAGCAGCAAATCCACCAAACTCTAGTCAGAATACTGTATTTTTACACATTTCTGTTGTGTGTAACACAAGCTATATATTGTTGGGTAAAATATTTTAATTTGGACAGCCGAGTGGCTTCAATGTTGCTGAGTCACCCAGTGTGTTTGCTCATGTACTGTGTCTGACTCTATTGTATGTCTTTACTGCTGTCATTGTTTCTGTGGGAGATATAAAACATTTATAGAGAGTGGGCTTCTGACTTGCTTGTGAAAAGGTCTAACAAATCTCTTGCAAAATATTTAAAGATATGAGTTGTGATCTCCAGCTGTTCCAACAACTTCTTATCAGTCTGAAAACAAGCTGGTATTTCTTTATGATGAACTGACCCTTTGTCACAGGGTGTATGTATGTGAGCACTTCAACTGTGAAGTGACAGACTCTTTGAATATTTCAAAAAGGCCTAGAGCTAACTCTCTTGTATTTCACATGAAAAAAGTTTAGAGGAAAGTCCAAAGAAATGAACAACTTTGTAGTTATGGTGGTAATCATATTTTGACCCCAGGTTGGGAAACACTGTTGTATAGAGTTGCAACAGACGCTGCATGGGCAATAAGAATGCAGTGCTGCAACTGTAAGCAGAGGGTCTGAGGAGCATGCAAATACGCATCAAGGGGTCAATCCATGTACATTACACACATTAAAATTATGATTTAATTGTTGATCAAAGGCATAGAAAGCTGCAGGTAAATTGTAGTTTGATGTTATGGTTTCTTTTGAGCACTGAGTGATAATAATGTGGTCTCCACATAAGACCGTCTTTGCTTAATCATTATATAACAATGTGCATGACCTCTTCAGTTGTTGTCAGTCTGATAAGTTTTACTGTGTCGGAGACAATGCAGAATCCAGGGGCGAGTCAAAATAGACAGAACTCATAAAAAACTTAAAATATGTCAAAAAGCATTTTTTATACTTGTAAGTCCTCTGTAATTCCAAGAATAGTAGGTATATTTTAATTTCCTTTACAGCACACAGTAACACTAACCACTTGACTAAAGTTACGATATGCTTCATATTATATAACAGATTGTGATCATGTAAGAACACTGGAATAAAAGGTACGTCAGCATATTGTAAAAGTTGGTAAAAGATCAACAGAACTTCCTGTGAGAGATAAGAAAAGTTAGAAAAAGTTCACTGCCTACATTAGTATGTACAGTAGCTGTGCTGGAAACAGCACACTGTACTTCGTTAAAGCACACTAATAAGTTATTCCATTATGACCATTTAAAAAAAATAAGTTGGTGAAAGGTGTTGATCAATGAATACTGAGGCAACTCTTGGCCTCAGGCCAAAGCACGAAAGCACATTGTATGAACGTGTCACAGTGACAGAGAAAGTTACAGGAGTGATATATCTGGTTAAATAATCACAAGATTGGCCTTTATATCTAAATGCTGTCTCATCCTTCTTGAAAATACAGTCCAGGGTTTAAACATTAATAGACATTGTTTAAAGGTCATCCTCTGGCAGCATCCTTAAACTGTAAGTCAGCTCCCTGAACATGGCGGATTTTGGAGAGATCCTCCGGAATATCGGAGAGTTTGGATTATTTCAGAAGATCACCCTTTTTGCTCTTTGCTTTCCCAATGTTATTCTGCCTTTTCACTTTGCCAGTGTGTTTTTTATCCAGTCAGATCCAGAGCGACACTGTAACACAAACTGGATCCTACAGGCTGACTCTAAACCCTGACCACAGATGAGCAGCTGAACTGACTATTCCCCGGGAGGACGATGGGGCCCTTCAGCAGGTGTCGGATGTTTGTCCCTGTGGACTGGGACATTGGTGCCATCAGGGAGTACGGACTCAATGAGACCACAGGTTGCAGATGGATGGGTGGTATATAACACGCTGTATGAAGCCACATCGTCAACTGATGTAATTTTGTCTCAATGGCTATTCATAATACAAAATTAACTTTCATATTCCCCTTTCTTAACCATCTGGTTGGAATTTCTTTACAAGTTCGATCTAGTTTGTGACCAGAGTAACTTTGTTGGAGTGGCACAACAGTGTTGATGGCTGGCATTCTTGTTTGGTTTCTCTTATTTGGACCTTTTGCTGAATCGTAAGTGGTCTTGAAATAAGGCATACTGTATTTTTGACGAAAGTGTCATCTTGTTAATAGAAGTCCATCACACACCTTACACACATAAACAACCAAAGACTGCATCATATTTTTGCTTACCCGAGGGTTTTATCTGTTTCAGGTTTGGTCGGTAACGAGCAGCTCAGATTCCAGTTTCATTGTGATGCCTCATATTTAACTGTAACAACTGGACTGTGTCCCAACTTCCTAATTTATATTTGGCATCCAGTTCATGGTGGGAATTGGTTATGGAGTTATCGACTGAACGGTCGTCATAATTGGTAAAGTATACTCTTTTTTTGGTTAGACGTATTAAATTCTTAATTTATTAAAGCAAAGTTACAACCCTCTTGTCTTAATCCGCAATATGACCACAAAATATAATTTAAATAAAGAAAGCCTAAAGTATACTTACACAGAGGGATTCTTTTATGGAGCCCCAAAACTGAGCGAAATGTAGTAAAAGGCTGGTGTGTAGGATTCAGTGGCATCTAGTGGTGAACCTGCGCAGATTGCAACCATTTTGAATACAGCTCTAGCCTTTCCAGTGTGTAGGGAGAAACTACTTCAGTAGTAGTAGTACTCCAGGCCAGTGTTTTGGTTTTTCTGTTCAGGGCTACATAGAAACAGAAACCATGGCGGTTCAACTTGCAGCCCTGTGGCAGAGGACCGTCCCTCGTGCAGATAAAAAAAATTCTCATTCGGAGGCACCACCATGTTGGCAGCGTTGTGACCTTTGTTGCATGTCATCAGCCTCTCGTCGTTTCCCCCATATCCCTGTTCCTGCATCGTCACTGTCACTGTCTAATAAAGTACAAAATGCCAAAAAAATAATCTTGGAGGAAATGAAAAACAAAACAAAAAACTAGCTTCATATTAGGTAAGGTTAACAAAAACACAATCTCCATTATCCGGATGTTATACACTAAAATGAAAAAAGTATTACACACTGGACATTATGATTATAATGCTAAAGGAGAAATATAAGGAATTCTATTTTTTTTTAGCACTTCATGTTAATTATTTAACCAGGATTATTAGTATTTAGTTATTTTTTTGTTGTCTGACTTTTTACTTAATTTTGTCAGTTCTGGGTCTCCATAATTCTTGTGAGGGGTAGAGATATTAGAGTGATGAATCTAGTTAACTGTCATTAATTTTCCTGTTTCTAGCCACTGAATGGATCGGGGTGTCAAAAAGTCATGGGTGCATGTGTGACTCAGCTATTTGGTGGGCAGTTGGAGCAGTGCGTCCTCGCTGGTAATGATCTACTTCATCAAAAGAGACTGACGAGCTGGCTCAACTAATCACAGCAAGTGCCATTTGCAGTGTTTCCATTTACATATGGTGTGCATTACCTCTTCTTTATTGCCTTCTTGTGTTTTACAGGTAATTTACAGTTATTAATAAGTTTTTTTTGGCCGCTATCCTTGTTTGCTGACAGGGTTTAATTCCAGAGTCCAGCCAGGTGGTTGTTGAAAGAGGAAGACAGAAGAGGCTAAAGCAGGCTGATTGGCCAAGTGGCAGCCCATCAACAAAGCGCACTGTTCCAAGACTCTCCCTGCTGGAGAAGGTACGTACCCTTGCACAAACACTCTTTCCTTGCATTGTATCAGGACTTATTGGAATACTTACATATAGTGATCATAGCAAAACGCATGGTCTATAATTATAGTGGAAAAACTATTAGCTACTACAGTAACTGTGTCAGAGAAATGGCTTTGCAAACACGACAATCAATACTGGACTGCAGTAGAGTTATTTAGCACCAAATAACAGAACGGCTCACTGTTAATGAAGAGTTACAAATATATAGGTGTCATCCACTCCCTCTGACACAGTGGTGAACAAAAAACTGGAATACTGTTTGATTAGCGTGACTTGCTAAGGAAAGCAAGAACGTTAGCGATGATATTGGTGGGTCCGACCCCCCTGTGCATTACAGAGTTGTTGGGAGAAAGAAACTGAGAAGAAAAAAAGGGAGGCCATTAAATAAGTTCCTTATCCAAATCATCTGTGCTAAGGAAAGTGATTTCTTAACCAATAATATTGGCCCATGGTAAGTTACGTTTATTGAAGCACATAAAAAACTGAAGTCAATGCACTGAGATGGCCTGAAGTAGAGAAAAACATTTTACAATTTAAAATGATGGTAGTTTTTCTTTGACTAATAGCTTTCTTTTGTGAAATTCTCCAGGTTTCTCCAATTGAAAATGTTGCTTAAGCTAGCTGCCTTTCATTCAATGTGGGTAATTTTTTGGGTTGGACGATCTTCCTGACGCAAATCATGTTTGGTCTGACTGAACTTACCAGCTCACATAGTTTGCATTATGCTGTTAGAAGCACTGGGGAGAGAAAGTTTCAACTGATGTCGACACTTCTGTTTGGAGGTCCTGTGCATATTTAATCCTCGCTTGTTTCCTGCAAGGTAATGTGTGTATATATTATATTATTTAATATTATTTCAATGGCACTTTTCATTAAAAATGTCACTTTTAATGATGGAGTGTTGTCACTGCCCAATTCCCGTCACCTTTCTTGATCTGGGTGGGCACCATCTTGGCAGTCCCCTTGATCCAAAAAAAATAAGCAAAGAGGAAGTGGGTGGAGCTAAGGTGGGATTGAATGTTGGTTAGCTGACAACAAGCCCGAAATGTGAAGGCACCCATTTGTCCC